GCTCCCCCCCCCCCCACAGTTAAGGTGAGAGGAGAGATCCTGGTTCATTGGTTTAAGATCCTAAGAAAAGAGATCTCATAGGGTCTCTTCTTTATGTAAGTACACATTTAATCTAGGAAGCCAAGGGGTCCATCTGTTGCCCTCAGTTGGAGGCAGTTAAGAGAAAGTTATATTGACAAGGCAGAATGAAACTTTTCAATGTGATAAGCTGCCTGTGCAGTTGAGTTGGCTATTTAAATCTTCTGTGTGTTACATGAAGCAAAGTCTGAACGGTTTTGCACACGCATGTGCGCGCGCGCGCGAACACACACACACACACACACACACACACACACACACAAAGCTTTTAGTCTATTGAAAAGGGATTTCATAGAGAGGTTAGACTCTATACATTCCAGTAATAATTCTGAAAGTTTTCATTGAAGAAAGAGTTTAGAATTAAACACTTAACATACTGGGCCAAGTTTCCAGAGAATTGAGACGAAGGAAGGGAGGAAGAAAGAAAGAGAGTTGGAGGAGCATGTGCCTCATAAACAGTTCTCCTCAGATGACTTTTCCTCCCTCGAGGGCCTTTTGGTTCTTTTCAGAATGGATGGATTTATAATTGAAATCTTCCATTTACATCAATATCATTATGGAGGAAATGATAATGAGGCCTTATATACTCAGTAGGAATGGTATCAAATCATTGCATAATGAGAGTTTGTAGCATTCTTATTCTGAGATACCTGTGCCCAACTCCTCATCCAAATAACACATAATCATTGTGAGGAATCTGTTCTATCCCTTAGGTATGTTGAATGTGTGCGTGTTTTTTTATGTGTGTGTGTGTATGTGTGTGTGTTTTTAAAGACTTAGAAATTCTGGCTTCATGAGCCTAGAATACAACTTTAGAAGAATTACTATAACAACAATAACAAAAAATTAGCCCTGGGTGGTATGAAAACTTCCAAATTATCTTTTATAGCCCATAGCTATAGCTATAAGCGGTATAGCAATAGAGAGCTTAAATATTTGCTTCTTTGTAAGGGATTAATAAAGTAATATATTTCTGTTTCTTTTGCTTATATATTTGGTTTATTATTTGGCATAGTAACACGATCTAGGCATTAATACACAAATTCCCAGTTTAAATTTTAGCTGAGAGCACATGAAAAAAATCGGGAATAAAATTGTCTGAACTTCTAGGGAGAATTTGCTACAGGAGAAGCCCAATCCCGGGAGTGGATGAAACAAGACCTTGTTTTTACAGGAGAGAGACCACTGTGTACTTTAAGCAGCTTGTTTTAAGTGTTCCTAGAGTGCTTCTCTGCTAAAGGGTTTTTCCCGTTGCAGGCACCGAGGATGGCTGGCAAGGCGTCTTTCTTACGTGCTTTTTGTTCAAGAGCGAGACGTCCATAAAGGCATGTTTGCCACCAACGTGACAGAAAACGTACTGAACAGCAGTCGGTAAGGGCAGGGGCACCTTGGTAAAGGGGAGAGGCGTGGGTGGGCGGCAGGAGTGGGAGCCAGGAAGTAATTTCCTTTATTAACCTTTAGTGCTTCTGGGACTCTGTCTCCAGAGACGTTTGCATTTCCAAGTTAAATGTTAAGCTCCACACGGAAACCAAGGAAGACAGAGCAGGTGGTTTTGGTGGGCAATGCCCTGTGAGAGTGTCAGGCTTGTTTTATGGGTTAACAAGTGAATGGGTTTCTAACACATGAAAGCAAGTTGGAGTCAGTGGTGCACATAACTTCCAAAATTTTCTGTTAAGTATTCTATAATATGGATGTTTAAGACATTGCATTTTCTATTTTGTAGCCAAAAGAGAAGCAAGTCTGATATGTCTGTCAAACAGTTATTGTGTACTTAGGCAGAAACTTCTGTACTAGAAAGTCATTGTTAGCATAGCTGGACATTCAAACTCACATAGCTGTTACCCAGTGAGGAGACCAAGATACTGTCTGTGCTTGTGGAGGAGCTTGCTTGCAAATGGAAGAGACTGGCTGGAGCTCATGTGGCGTGGGGAAATGAATCATGTGGAGATCAGGCATTAGAATATGGGGATGTGGAAGAAGGTTGGTCTCTGCTCCACATGGTCGGTGTGGCCCATGTTCCACATCTCCCTGGATTTGGGTAGCTGGAGACAGGGGTGGATTGAAAGATGCTCAGCAATGCAGGCTCTGTGGTGTGGTTGTTAAGGCCTGAACAGTGTGGCTCATAATAGGTATTCAGATATTTATTGAATGAGTGAATGATGAGTGAATGAACAGTTGATAATGGAGATGTAATAATCATGTCAATTACTTGTGAAAATGTTCCTGGCCAGATTGAAATAAATGCTATTCAAAGAATGTTCTGTGGGGTTGGTCTTTTCTTTTTTTTTTTTTTTTTTTTTTTTTTTTTGGTCTTTTCATATTAATGAATTGTGGGGCTGTGTGGAGTCTAATATCGGTAGCAATGGTGGGAGAAAACACAGTTATTTGAAACTCCCTTGGATTATTACTCTGTTTTCTAGGTAAAAACCTTCAAGTATGTTTTATTCTATGCAGGTATTTTGACTAGTAACTAGAATGTCAGAAGTGATTTAAGGAGGTTTAACCTCATGCGTTCTCCCCTACGTCATGTGGGAGGTTTATTAAACTGGATACAATCTTCCCCTTTATCTCACTGCTTATTGTTCTGTGCTCTTTTAGTCTTGAGCTTTGCCTTTTTGAACTTCAATATTTATGTCCCTCTTGCATCCTTCCTAGAGAGTTTTATATATGGTTCTAATAGAGTCACACTAATGTGAATAATTAAGCCCTCAAAAGTAAAGTTAGACATTACTTGACAGTGAGTTTTGGATGCCTCTGAATCATATGCCTCAATGGGTAATCTTCTTTTTTTCTCTTCTGGGGTGGGGGTACAGCTTTGTGTCTCCCCCAGCACAGCTGGAACATTCAAACTCACATAGCTGTTACCCAGTGAATTTGAATTAAATTCCTAAATAGGTTTTCCAGAGTCCTGAGGGGTTCATTGCTTTAGGAATATGATAGCCTTAATATTTAATAGACAACCAAAGAAAACACTTCAAACTTGAGCTTATTATCTCATTAGAGGCCCAGTGCACAGATCCGTGAACCAGTGGGGTCCTTCAGCCTGGCCTGCGCCCTCTTGCAATCCAAGACCCCTCAGGGGATGTCGGAGAGCCGGTTTTGGCCTGATCCCCGAAGGTCAGGCTGAAGGGCCCCACTGGTGCACAAATCCATGCACCAGGCCTCTAGTATGCATATAAGATCTTTGATTAATCTCTTCCCATCTTCTCTCCTCCCCGCTTCCCTCTGAGATCATCAGACTGTTCCATGTTTCCATGCCTGTGCATTGAGCGTCTGCCCCCTGATAGTCAGTGCACGTCATAGCTAATGGTTGAACGGTCGCTTAGGATTTTATGTATATAGATGTTGCCACACATTAAAGAGGAGGTACATTTTGTTTCGTGACTTACAGCTATGGTTTACAAAATGCTAAGTACAGAATATGTACAGTATCAGATACATTGTCTGTCTTTCCACTTCCAAATCAGAGTGCAAGATGCCATTGCAGAAGTGGCTGCTGAATTAAACCCTGAGGGCTCTGCTCAGCAGCAATCCAAAGCCATCAATAAAGTGAGAAAGAGAGCCAAAAGGATCCTTGAAGAAATGGTCGCCACTGTCTCACCAGCAATGATCAGGTATTAAAGGCAAGGCAGAAGGTTTCCAACGAGAACCATCTGTTATGAGAAAACAGGGTGGAACCATGGGACTTCCTCTGGGTCCAAGATGCTTTAACATAGTCTGATGTCACACCCAACTCTTTATATTCTTATTAGAGGCTCAATGCACGAAATTCGTGCAAGAGTAGGCCTTCCTTCCTCCGACTGCCGGCACCGGCTTCCCTCTGACACCCGGGACCCTGGCTTCCCTTGCAGCCCCGGCTTTGTCTGGAAGGACATCTGGTCTAATTAGCATATTACGCTTTTGTTATTATAGATTCATCTTTTATGGAAGTAGCACGGTGGTTGGCTTTAAGGTGCTTCCACCTCTGTTAATTGAAGCAGCCATTGCATTCCCGCTGATACTTGCTTTCTAGACTAGGTGTGAGCCAGGTATCACATACCCGTGTCTAAAAGGGAGTGGTTTTCTGTTGTTCTGCTCTCTGAAATACTCGCATGGCCATTTGCTTATAAGGTCTAAGTGTTAGGTGAAATGTAAGATTTTAGTCCATAATAAATGGATACTTTTATAAGTACCACATATGTAAAGTTAGCTATTGAATTCCACAATTCAGATACACAGGCACACAGAGTCACTTACTAGCACTATGTATACACACACACACACACACACACACACGTTTAAATTTGTTTTTACTTTCAGACTGACTGGATGGGTGCTGCTAAAACTGTTCAACAGCTTCTTTTGGAACATTCAAATTCACAAGGGTCAACTCGAGATGGTTAAAGCTGCAACCGAGGCAAGAAATATGGGACTATGTCATTCCATCTTCTCCATGTTTGAAGAGTGATTTTATGATTCTTTTGAAATTGTTCCCTTGCATACTGTTGTGCTTCCCAAGCCATCTGGGAGATTTCCCCCAGGACGATGACTGCAGAGCTGTGTGTGCGAGGGGCAGTGGGGCAGCGGAGGACCTGCCAGCCATGCAGGATTCCTTTAGTAATTACCTTGCAACAATTCTGAATATTAGGTAGAACAATCCCTATTTTATAAATGAGGAAATAAAGGCTCAGATGGAGTAAGAAGTTTTTCCAAGTCACGGCGAATAGGTGGTTTGCCTGGGATTACAGGTTGCATCAGGCTTGACTCTGAAACCTGTGCTCTTGCCTAATGAGAGCTGCTCTCAGAGACATGTGGGCTCAACTTGAACTCTTTTCTTTTAAATTGTTTTTATTGATTTTGAGAGAGTGGAAGGGAGAGGGAGAGAGAGAAACATAGATGAGAGAGTGAAACATGGATTGGCTGCCTTCTGCATGCCCTGCTAGTGGGGATTGAGCCTGAAACCCAGGCATGTGCCCTGACCAGGAATCAAACTGGCAACCTTTCCGTGCACAGGATGCCCAGCTAACTGAGCCACACCAGCCAGAGTGCAACTTGAAATCGTGATTACTTTTCTCCTTCTCTAATATCAATAATATTTCCAGTATTCTTTCAATTTAATATTTAGCTAAAAACAACTACAAAAAATAGTAGTTGTTTGTGTGTGTGTGTATATATATATATAATTTTTTGTAGTTGTTTTTAGCTAGATACATATTAAATTGAAAGAACACTGGAAAATGTTTTTAAAGAATGAGTCACAGATTATTAGCCAGTGTCTGAGTGACTCTAACCAAAAATGAAATTGCAGAGTATGATTGAACTGGACATTTGAACTTATTACATTTGGCATTTTCCTTTCACCAGATGAATTTGCCGCTTATATTTCTACCGGTTCATAGATCCCACATCGACTATCTGCTGCTCACCTTCATTCTCTTCTGTCATAACATCAAAGCACCATACATTGCTTCGGGCAATAACCTCAACATCCCCATCTTCAGGTAAGATGAGCTTATTTTGTAATTTAAGGTATGAAAAGGATTATATTCTGAATTTTTGTACCTTTTGACATGATGTTGAAATTTTTTTATTTTCATTATAAAAGTAATGCATGGTCATTGTGAAAACTTTGAAATGTACAAAAAAGCATTAAAACTATCACCATTATTTCTGTGTTTTATATGGGATACTTGGTGAACTCTGCCTAAACTTTATGGGCAATATTTACCAAATGGATAAAGGGCAATTAGAAAGACAAGACAGCAAATTACTGTATCAGGCTTGGCAGTAGGGAGGTGGGGTGGTGGCGGTGGTGTAAAGGTAGTTAAGAAGAACTATACCTGTTAACTTCCATCTTATAATTTAGAAGGGCTAAAAACCTACAACCGCTACAGTATCACATGAAAGTGTGTATTTTAGAGGTTTTCAGGAGAGTGAAGTGCATTCCATTCAGAAGAGATAGTATGTGACAAGGCAGAAATGCAAAAGCATGATTTGTTCAGGCTATGGCAGACGATTCAGTAGGGTTGGAATGTTGGATGCATTGGAGGGCTGCAGGCTGGAGGTGGTGACTGCATAGGTAGTGAGGACTAGGTCAAAATGGTTTCTAAGCCAAGAGTTTAGAGTGTATCCTGTACTTGAGAAATGACATGGTCAGATTTGCATTTAGAAAAGTCCTTCTGGATTAGAGGGAGTAAGAGCAATTCTGACTCTATTGCAATATTCACACAAAAGGTAACGAAGGCTTAAATTAAAAGCACTGTAATGCGGTTGGAGAGGAGGGCATCGACTTAAAGAGTGTTTATTAAGTTGAATTTACAAGAGCAAATGCTAGTCCAGATGAGTGAATAGAGGGGGAGAGGGGGTGAGGTGGGAGGAAGACAATCAGGTGTTTACCACTGGTAGGTAAGGCAGCTGATCACCAATGGGCAATTGGTGAGGAGTAGGTTTTGTTGGTTAGTGAAGTTGCAGTTTCAAACTTCATAGCTTAAAATACCTGTAAGGTCAGCTCTGTGAGTTGTAGCGAGTAAGAGGATGACTTTAGAGTGACTGGAAAGAAGTGGGCTGGCAGGTTTGCAAGCTGTGAAGTCTGATCCTCAGCCTCACAGTCCAAGGAGCTCCTTCCTAATTGCTTAGCTCAGAGTTCTGTGGCCAACCAGACTCACATGGACGACGGACGAGAAGCCATCCGTTCATGAAGTCAGCTGATGCTTACTCAGCTATGTGGTACACAGGAGTGAACAGATTCGTAGACCTCGCCTTCAGATAGCTCACTAATCTATCAGACAGTGTGATATGACCCCACAGGACAGACATGCTTTTCCAGGGACTAGAATAGTTTACGTTCCTGGGCACCTCTTCCCATTACTGAGGAAGCTGGGGAGCGGAATTAGAAAGTCATCAGAAAGTTGCTGGTAGCTATAGATTTAGAGCAAAGTCTGGGTTCTAGAGAAGTCTTGCCCATAACAGTTTGCCTCTTTTGTAAGCAGAATAACGCATGTACTCATGCTCTACAGTTTCTAAACTTGGATCTCTTGGAAGTGCTCGCTAAACACTGATAATTTCTCATAACTCGGCTGTCCTGTCAGGTAACTCTATGCCAGTCATTGCTTGACCTTCAGACATGACAGACTAGATAGCCTGGCCTGTTTATTAGCATCTTTCTTTTGTCACAAACCACTTTCCAGGGTGAGTTATTTTAATGGGTGGTTAATCACATTTAATATGAACTTACTCTGCAGGGTTTTACTCTCAAAGAGTGATACTAAGCTCTAGGAGCATCTTACTGCTGCCTTTTTATACTGACTATAAAAGATACCATATATATATGTATATTTATATGAATATCACTCTATTTGGAAAGAAAGACTTAAGTTTTAGAAAATTTCAAGTTCATATAAAAAATCAATCAGTATTATAGAAAGAGACCCGGGGTTGTGAAAAATGTTGTTTCTTTCCTGTGAGTAGGAATATGAAGCAGATTCCTGTTTCGTGATTTGAAAGGATGGTTATACTTCGTTTCACTTTGATAAAAGTATCTTTGTCTCACAGAACACTCTCTGAACAATATTTATTTGAGAAATTTCTGCAAAGTAGCTTGTGTAACATCACATTCATTTTTTAGTAAATGTGCCATAGGAAGATTTTGGAAGGTCTAACGGTCAATGTCTTGAGAGCCTGGGCAGGGTTTTAAAATTCAGCAGTATTTCATAATCTTCTGAAACTCTGTAGCATCGACTGTGCAGGGTGATGTGTCAGAGAGGCTTCTTTGGCTGGGAACCGATGTAGTAGAGCCACAGCACACGGAGTGAGGTTCTGAAGGCTGACGAATAACGGCAATGACCGGAAAATGGGAAATGTCCACATGCTCACTGTCAGTGGCTCCAGCAGCATGTGGTTTATAGTCACCTGACAAATGCTTGGAAGTAACTTGGGATTTGAGCTTTCTTTGTAACTTTTTGAATTTCTAGTACCTTGATCCATAAGCTTGGGGGCTTTTTCATACGACGGAGGTTGGATGAAACACCAGATGGACGGAAGGATGTTCTCTATAGAGCTCTGCTCCACGGGGTATGTCTCACCTCTAATTAGCCTCCAAGCCGTTGTGGTCGTTACCACAGTAGATGGAAGAAGAGAGACTGTTGTCCGAGTAATTATTTGATTGATTATTGCTTGGGTATGGGTTTGATGATTACTTTTTATCATCACCAAAATACAGCAGTAAAGGAGCTGCCCTGTTGTTATTTGTGTGAGTGAAATATTTTGTCGGTAGTGAAGTTACGTAGGCTTTTGCTTTCTGTTTCTAAGATCTAACTTGGCTGAGCCTTCTGTAAGTTGGGCAGTCTTGAACTCATGTGTGACTTTCTCCTGATGTCCAGCACATAGTGGAACTACTTCGACAGCAGCAGTTCTTGGAGATCTTTCTGGAAGGCACACGCTCCAGGAGTGGGAAAACCTCCTGCGCTCGGGCAGGACTCTTGTCAGTTGTGGTAGATACTCTGTCAACCAATACCATCCCCGACATCTTGATAATACCCGTGGGCATCTCCTACGATCGTATCATCGAAGGTCACTACAATGGCGAACAGCTGGTAAGAGGACTGCCTACCCCAACTCTTCTTTGCTTTCAAGTCTGTTGCTTTTAGAATTACCTAGTTTTAAAGCTTTGTAGGAAACATGGCAGGGTGGGTGTGGGGAGTAGCTTCCGTCTCCCGCCTCAGCCCGACTGGTGGTGCTGATGTGGTGCTTACCTGCACCCGGAGGAGGTGACGTGCCTAGATGTGCCAGTGCTGGCCATGGTCATGGGATTGGGAAGTGAGAGAACACTTGGCACTGTGGCCATCTCTGCTGGGCGGGGGAAGGGGTTGTGTGGCTTCTCCCCAGGACCTTACTGCATATGTGCAGATTTTTTTTTAACTTTAGCCAGAAGGACTGGTGGGATCCTGTTGACAAAGCAACTATAAATTAATTTGAGAAATGGCAGTAATGTTTTTTATAAGCTTCTTACTGAATTAAGTATAAGAGTTCTAGAAGAATGCACAAATCATAAGATGGAGCTTGAATTATCAGAGTGAACACCCCCCATAACCAGCACTGAACTCAAGAAAATACTATCAGGACCCTAGGAACCCCCCTATGCCCCTCTCATTGCTGCCCCCTCAAGGGTAACCACTTACCTTGACTTCTGAAGGAGTAGAGTAGTTTTGCTTATTCTTTAATTCAATAAATGGTATTTTGGAGTGTGTGGTCTTTTTGTATCTGGTTTCCTTTGCTCAGGCAGGTGTTTATGTGATTCATCCATGTTGTTGCATTTGCTTAATTTGTTTATTCTCATAGTATTCCCGTGCATGAATACGCCATAGTTTATCCTATTGTAGGAAAACAGTTTGGGTTCTGGTTTTTGACTGATCATTTCTCCACAATACTCTTGATTACCATATGTGCATTCTGTTGGGCATTTATCTAAGAATTTGGAATTGGGTCATAAAGTCTACACATGTTCAGCTTTCGTAATACTGCCGAACAGTTTCCCAAAATGCTTTTACCAACGTACCATTCCTGCTGGCATTGTGAGAGTTCCAGAGGAATTTAGTGTTGTTCTTATTTAGTGTGGAAGTCTTGGGCAAGGTGCTTATTTCAGGCCTGCTGCCCAGAACACATCTGCTGCTCAGGGACCCTTGATAATTGAAGGCTTTAAAAGTTAAGTGATCGACACAGATTATTATCTGTACCTGTTGTGAGATTCCCCCTCAAGTTTGTTAGGTGTCTATTCTGAATGTGTATTCCACTCACGCTGTCTCATGAGGTTATATCTGAGTCCCGTGTCCATTATCTGGCCATCGTTGTGCCATATGCATATTAAATAGTCACTAAGTGCTTACTGAATGAATAGTCAGATTAAAGGTCACCATGGGGCTGGATTTGACACTCGCTGCCTAATGCTAGGTATTTGGACTCTGGTGATCATCAGGCTTCCCATAAGTGACCTCTTTGACATCTTATTTTTATCTGAGAACTGCAGAATACTGTTCAACCTATGTCATTTTTATCCTTCATTAGTTCGCAGTTGTGTTTTTGTGAATGCTGTAAATAGTGTGCTAAATGAATTAGTGTTAGTGTTTGGTTTTTCATTGACCAAATCACCTCTCCCGATGACACGATTACATCTTGTAGACCAGTGGTTCTCAACCTTCCTAATGCCGCGACCCTTTAATACAGTTCCTCATGTTGTGGTGACCCCCAATTTTATTGTTACAAATTGAACATAATTAAAGCATAGTGATTAATCACTAAAACAATATGTAATTATATATGTGTTTTCTGATGGTCTTAGGCGACCCCTGTGAAAGGGTCATTTGACCCCCAAAGGGGTCGCGACCCACAGGTTGAGAACCGCTGTTGTAGACTCTATGAATTCTAAATATTCTCTGACAGGTCTCAGTCAATGAATACTTATTTCCCGTGTTCATTCGCTGTTGTTTTTTTCAATATGAACCATGAAAAACAAAAGAAATAAGATGCTTTATTCTTTGGGTAACAGAATGTTTGCATATGTGTGAGCTTTATTTCTTCCCATGTTATTCTTTCAAAATCGGAATATAGGGAAAACCTAAGAAGAACGAGAGCCTGTGGAGCGTAGCCAGAGGCGTCATCAGAATGTTACGGAAAAACTATGGGTGTGTCAGAGTGGATTTTGCACAGCCATTTTCCTTAAAGGTGAGTGTCTGTTGGAATGAAGCTGTTTTAAAGCATTGGGGTAGCTCGGGGTCAGGTCTGGGCCCTGGTCCTGCCTCTAGTCCTCCTTCTGTCACCTAAGTTTCTTCTCTTGGAAAATGAGGACTATGTCAAGAATGGCATTTCCTAAATTTTTCCACCAAAGTACACCAGCTAACAAAGGACAGTAAATATCTATCTTTGGGCGACATCGGGTTCAACGTTTATTGCTATTTTTTTAAATTCATGAGACTTTTGCATATTGTTTTATAATATACTAGAGGCCTGTTGCACAAAAAGATTCATGCAACAGGCCTTCCCTTCCCCTGGCTGCTGGCACCGGTTTTCCTCCGGCATCCGGGACCCAGGCCTTCGCTCCGGCCGGAGCCGCCTTCAGTCTTCGCTCTGCCGCTTTGCGCCTACATATGCAAATTAACCGCCATCTTTGTTGGCGGTTAATTTGCATATCTCGCTGATTAGCCCATGGGAGGTGTAGCGAAGGTACGGTCAATTACCATGTTTGTCTATTATTAAATAGGATATCAATATTTTATATCGTGTTTTTAAATTGCCTTTAGGGGAAGTTTTTCAAAACACAACCCTTAAAAGCTGGGTCCTAGTCACACTAGGATGATGCTCTGATTAACGAAGTGGGATCCAGGTCCCTCGTGTTCTGAGGGGTAGGGCTCTCCTCGTGGTGTGGGAAGCCTGGGACTGCTAGGTCCCTGACATCCTGGCACTGTAAATTCCTAAGATTTTCCAGTTGGTTAAAGAGAGAGAGAAGAATGGGTGATGAAGTTGGGAACCCAGGGGGTCAGGGACAGAGTCCTGCTCCTGCTGTTCCACTTCCTGGTTTTATTCTAAAAGACTCTAATTGCTGTGCTAGATGTTTTCTGACCTTAATGCTTCCAATTCTTAAGAACCCCATCATTCTTACTATTAAAAAAAAAAAAAAAGATTGCACAGCTTCTCTCTCTTGTTATGATTTGCTTTTGGGTTGAAGTTCTTTTGAATATTATGTGACCCTCAGGTTGTCAGATTTCCTTTATAAAGCATAATTATGTCGGTTACCAGTAATTATATTGGGAATGTCAAATAATTTATTTAAGATGTGAGAAAAGTTAAATCTTCTCCTTTAATTTATAAATGATTTTGCTTCAGAATCATTCTGTTCTTCGTATTTTCAGTTCTTAGATTTCATGTTTGACAGCATCCTATGGGTCATTCTGGGCTCCTGAAGATGGTTTAGGATATAAGAAGTAGTTTTCTGTAGCGTAGCTGATTTGATGAAACAACTCCCTTTTTACTTTTTGAAGATTGAGTATATTTTGTATATGTTTATGTAAGTGAGACAATGAGAGTAATTGTTCGGTTTTTTCCCCTCCAGGAATATTTAGAAAACCAGAGTCAGAAACCTGTGTCTGCCCCACTGTCTCTGGAACAAGCCTTGCTACCAGCTATACTTCCTTCAAGGTGAGGTGTGGGGGAATTTTTTTACTGACTAAACTGTCAGATATCTGTTATGTCTCACATTGCAAAGAAAAATAGGTTAACTGTAATGGGAACATGCATGTTCTTGTTTTCACTTCCAATCTTGAGTAACTTTTCTCTTGGTCGTATAGGGGGTGGTGAAGTGATGTGCTTTCATAGTTTGGGCTTTTTTGATTTATTTGCATTCTAAAATCTATTTGATTTTGTGAATCAGGTAGGAGTTCTCATTTGATTTTTATGCCTTTAAATGTTTGAACTGAATTCTTTTTTTCTTTTTTTAAAATGTATTTTATTGATTTTTTACAGAGAGGAAGGGAGAGGGTTAGAGAGTTAGAAACATCGATGAGAGAGAAACATCGATCAGCTGCCTCCTATATACCCCCTAGTGGGGATGTGCTCGCAACCAAGGTACATGCCCTTGACCGGATTCGATCCTGGGATCTTTCAGTCCGCAGGCCAACGCTCTATCCACTGGGCCAAACCGGTTAGGGCTGAACTGAATTCTTTTTGATAGTAGCTTAGATTATACACATTGTACATATGTGCAGTGTATGAGTTTTTTCTGTGTGAATTTTTCAGAATCCAGAATGAGTTGTAACTTCGAGGATTTGAATATTAAACCCTTCCTTTAATGTGTTAGAGAATTTGGAGAGTAAGCCCTTCCTTTAATGTGTTCAAGTCAAATTTTTCTAAATGTTTTAAAATGAGGTATCTTGCTTTATGCATTTTCTTTTCAGCCAGTGGGTTTGGAAATGATGTATCAGTAGACTGTTTAGTTATAACTAAATAATGTATTTCCTCCAAGAGAGTATATTTGGCATAGTAGAGTATACCATGGAGAAAAACAACCTATAGAAATAATCTACTTGTGGTTTAAATTTAGAATATGTAGTAATTTACAGTGTGTTATACATTCATACCTTAGGCCATCATAATTTGCTTTGTGAAAGAGTGGGATTGCAGAAGTCTAATTTTTAAGGAAACTTTTCAGACCCAATGATGCTGCTGCTGAAGGTGCCGAGCCGTCCCCTGATGAGTCCAGCAATGAGACAGAGGAGTCGTTCCGGAGAAGACTGATCGCGAATCTGGCTGAGCACATCCTCTTCAGTGAGTAGAACAACCGTCTCTGTGGTTTGCGGTTCAGATCGGCCTGGTGCAGGGCAGACCGTATGGGTTCGGGCATCTGCTGTGCTTTGGTTCCACTTCTAGTTCCAGTACCTGATCCACAGGTGATGATAGATGGGTTATTAGCCGGAAGGTGATGTGGTGGGGATTTGGGGTAGTCGAGTAAAACATCTCACATAGTGCCCGGTGATTAGTGGGTGCTCATGCTTTAATAACATACAGTATTGCCACAGTGATTTGTTACCTCTTTTGCTCATGAATGTGTTTCCTTGAACTAACTTGTAGTGCAGCTTCTAGGTTTATAGTTGCATGTCCCTTCCCCCTCTGACCCCATGATTATTCAGCAAATATCGAGGGGCCGTTCTGTGTAAAGTTGGCTTTAGCTGTGGGGACACAGATGGAGGAGCTAGTGGTTCAGCACCTACAGAGCCTGTGCTGTTCTCAGGGGGTAGTTGTACACAAACACTGTATGTGGGAGGGATCCAGAGTGGAGTGCGGTGAGTGCAGAGCCAGTCTACCTCAAGTCCAGATTACAGTGTCCTGTCATGTGGTAGAGGTGGCTTTAGAGTCCTGGGGCAGCGTCCCAGTCCCTTGGTATGCAGCCCGGTTAGGCTCTTGTCTCCACTTCCTGTTGCACATCCCCGCTCAGCTCTGAATCTCAGCACTTCCTGCCGACGTTGGTGGAGTTTCCATGCCTCTTCTGGCTCCTTCCGCTTCCACTGCTGCCTTGTGCCGGACAGACTGTTCTTTCTCAGGCACATCTGACGTGTCTCCCGTGCTTGGGTTCTGGATGCTAAAATAATACATCCTTAATGCTGGGGAGTTGGAAAATAAAGACAAAACCCACTGTCCAAGTAACCAGTGGTGTTGCTGTCTAGTCTCTAAAAATCCTTCTGACAGTTTTGTCTTGTGCTCTCTTCCATTTGTAACACAAATATACATTTATGTTTTTAAAAAACTCTTTATAAACATTCTTTTTGATGGCTATAAATATAGTACTGGATACTGTTTTTTTTGTTTTTTTTATACACTGGAGACAATATCAGCTGTGAGTGAAGTATTCCTGAATTCATTATCATCTCAGAAAAACCCCCAATGGTGTCTAGTTCAGATTATTCCACAGACGTTCTCGTATTTGATTTATATGATTATAATTTTCTACAAACTCAGAGTATTGTGTATGGACTAGAGTCATTTCAAATGTATTGATGTCCCCTTCTTCCCCACCTCTGACCTACCTCTGGGCCAGGTTGAAAGAAGAGGTGAAAATACGTTGAGCAGCATCACTGTGGGTCCTGTGGCAGGCCATCCATTTCATTCTAATGCAGCCCATGGACGGCGGTACTCTCATTTTACCCCTGAGGAAGCTGAGGCTTGGGAATTTAATTAATTTCCCCCAAGTAGTGAAATTAATCAGTGTAGAAGTTAGGTTTTGAGCCCAGATTTTCTGACTTTCAGTCCTGTGGGAGGAGTATACAAGTACAGTTACAGTAGACTGCCGCCTGGGACAAGTCAAGAAATAGCAGTAGGATGTGCTGTAGAGCTCGGAGAACAGGCTCAGGCTTTGGGTCTTGGTATTTCCATACAGGTGTCTCTAGGTCAGTCAGTAACTAAACTCCATTATCCTCAATTGAAGGTGCACCTACCTTAGACTGAATTCTGTTATATGACAAATAGTGATCTCTAATGGCCCAGAACACAGTATAATGTAACTTCCTTTTGATAAATCACTTTTATGGGGAATGTGGTAGAGGACTTTTATAGTTTTAAATACTCCTATTTAAGATTTAGGTACTTTTAAAAATTTCAGCTGTGTATATTTTTTAAAAAGTGCAACTAAAGCTCTGTGCTTGCCTTTCAGCTGCTAGCAAATCCTGTGCCATTATGTCAACACACATCGTGGCCTGCCTGCTCCTCTATAGACACAGGCAGGTATGTCCACCGCGTCACCTGCAGCTAAAGACTAAGCGTGAGAATGCTCTGTCAGCTGCTCACACCCGATTCACTGATAGATTTGGCCCACTCCTGGCGAGGACTGTGAGACAAACAGTTATATAAGCTAAGGACCCTGCCCACAGGAGCTTACAAATCCAATGACAAAATCTACATGAAAAAAACTCAAGAGACTGTGATTTATATATATATGTGTGTGTGTGTGTGTGTGTATATATGTATATGTTCATATATATAATATATATATATATATTTATTAGAGGCCTGATGCACAAAATTCATGCAAAGGGCTCCCCCCGCCGCTGCTGCCTTGGCCGCCTCTGCCTCAGCCTCAGCCTCCATCTGCCGCGGCTTCATCCAGAAGGACATCTGGTCTAATTAGCATATTATGCTTTTATTATTATAGATACAGTAATAGTAAGACATACTTTGAGTGGTATAGTTAATGTAAATAACTATACATATACATATATATACACACACACAGTAATAGTAAGACATACTTTGGTATAGTTAATGTAAATAGGCATAATTTTAATTGACATGCAGATAGCGAATGGTTTCCTAGCTATTTTGATTTGTGTTTAGCTATTTTGATTTTTAAAAAGTGCACGTTCCACCTTCCTACAATGCACTAATGCTAAGATGCTACTGGCGCCTTTTTACAAAAAAAAAATGCCAGTATCTATGGGCACCCAATAAGTATTTGTCAGATAGGTATTTAATGGGGAAATTCTTGCTAAAAATAAGCACTTCTTACTTTCAGATGGTGGCTTCTGCTCTCCGTGATCTTATGTGCTCATAGCACATGTGTGGCTAGAGTGCTCTCTGGATGTGGAATATCATTTCTTGACATTCTGGGGGACCAGCTTTTTAATCAGGTTTTTTTTTGTTTTTTCCCCTTTCTCTGCATTGGTGGTGTGACCCTCTTTCTGTATGTGCTGACATGGAGCTGCAGGAAAGCCAAGGCAAGAAAAAATCCTCTGAACGGCCTCTCAGCCTTTTGGGAAGTAGTTTTCCCTGTCCTGAGACCTTTCTGTGTGTTTCTCTAGGGAATCGATCTCTCCACATTGGTGGAGGACTTCTTTGTGATGAAGGAGGAAGTGCTGGCCCGTGATTTTGACCTGGGGTTCTCGGGAAATTCCGAAGATGTGGTCATACATGCCATACAGCTGCTGGGAAATTGCGTCACAATCACCCACACCAGCAGGAATGATGAGTTTTTTATTACTCCCAGCACAACTGTCCCATCAGTCTTTGAACTTAACTTCTACAGCAACGGCGTCCTGCACGTCTTTATCATGGAGGCCATCATAGGTATGTTGGGCCCTGGAACATTTTCATAGAAAAATACAAGGGTCTAAAACACCCTGGGGTCTACTTCAGTTTGGATGATAACCCCTGTTTGAGGGAACGTGTTGCTCTATTTTTAACTTCAAATAAGAATATAATCTGCTGTATCACTGTTTATGGCTTATTTTTGCATCTATTATTCAGTAAGTAGCTCATGAATTACGGCATAGTATTACACTTATGATTGAGGGAGAGAGGTAAGGTGTCTTGCTGTCCAGAAGCTGAAAGACTGAGGGAGAGGAGACAGACACGTGGTGGTGATGTGAGTGGTGGGGCTCAGTTGTGATCAGGGTCACAGGGAGAAAGAGAGCAGAGGGGACGGGTCCCGGAGGAAGGCCTTGGATGGAGTTGGGATCACATGGACACATGAGAAGTAAGTCCTGAGGGGATTATTTAAATTCACCCTGAAATGCAGGTAATTATTTTTGATGTAGCAGCTGTTAAGGTAGTCCAAGCTATCCGAGCCAGTTGAGGTTTTCCTTGGAGCTCTGAGGCTGCGGCTTCATTGATGCGTTCATCTCCTCAGCCTGCAGCCTTTACGCAGTCCTGAACAAGAAGGGTGCGGGCGCGCCTGCCGGTGGGGCCTCCTCCCTGATCAGCCAGGAGCAGCTGGTGCGGAAGGCGGCCAGCCTGTGCTACCTGCTGTCTAACGAGGGCACCATCTCTCTCGTAAGTAACAACTCTTTGCCTGTTCTCTTTTTCTTGAGCATTTTTATGAAAACATAAACCAACTTTGTCTTTCTCTGTTACCGAGGCTTTACATTCTACTCCAGACTAATACGTTGTTAACTGTGTGGATGTGGCTGTTGGGGTCACTGCTCCAGTGACCGCTTTGTGCCCCCGTGAGGTGTGTTGGGCAACTGCTCGACATTCTGCATCAGTCAGGTCCAAGGTTACCGAGCTCTTATTTTGCATAAGGCACTGGGTCAGAGGTTTGTAAATAATTAACATGCTCACTCATGGATGATGGAACCACAGATGATAAGAGTCAGAAACAGTCTTAAAATCATCTGCTCAGCCCCATCCTCACTTTACAAACGGGGAGACTGAGGCCCAGCAGTCCTGATGAGCTTGCATGTTATGTCCATGCACTTGCAGATGTTTATAACGAGGCATGCGTGTTAAGCAGTAGAGAGTGCTCTTTCCTCAAAGTCATCAACAGGTAGAACTCATATTCTATTTAAAGTCTACTGTCCTGCACTTGGGACGTCTGTGAGCACGTGTGTGATGAGGGCCCTCCTCCACGGGCTTCTTCACAGGAGGCATGTTGCTGGGCCTGTTGGGGAATCTGTTTTGCCTCAGCCCTGGGGGGCGGAGTGGGAAGGGAGAGGGTAAATAGGCTCTCAGGTTTGCCTTTATCCTTTTCCTGGGTCTTTTCTGAATATTGAACATTGTGTTTCCTCATCCACCACCTTTGTGTACAGTATCTACACAAAGGTTTGAGAGCTTTTGCAGAGAAATTGTCTTGTAAAGAAGAAGAACAGGTGGTGGGGTGTGACAAGTGGCCCCTCTAAGGACTGCTTCCCTTGAGGTGGGGGGGAGGCTGAGCTTGGGAGCACCCTTTCTGGGTGCTGCCACACTGTGTGCTCTGCCAATCCGGAGAACCAGGCCTCTTCTGTGGCTTTGCCTGTGACCACCCATATTTATCAGGAGGGCGGGCATCGGAAATCTTAGGACTTGCCCAGTGCAGTGAGGTAGGTCATATCATGGACATATTTGGCAGCTACTTTGTACGGTGTTTTTCTGTTTTTACTAAAAGAGGTATAGGATCATGACATTGACCTTGAAATGTCTCTTCTTTCCAGCCCTGCCAGACGTTTTACCAAGTCTGCCATGAAACAGTGGGGAGGTTCCTCCAGTACGGCATTCTCACGGTCGCAGAGGTAAGGGGAATCAATCGCTCACCTTTGTTTGCCTTTGTTTAGTTTAGTTTCTTGCTCCTGTCCTTTCCACCAACTACTTTAACCAATTATTTTAACTAATAATTACATTAGATCTGTAGTCAAATCCAGGTGAACAGACGAGAAAAATCAGCATGGGGAGAGTAAATGTCTTCAGGATTGTGTGACATTTTGGTTCCTTCTGTGTAACTGGTGTTGTCTAAAACATATCCTGACAATTCCAGATCCTGAAGTTGTTCTAAGATGAGATGTTTTACTCTCAGTGTGCTTGTAGCTTGCACATAGCATTTTTCTCTTTTGAGATTTTGTTTTAATGTTGGTAAATTCAGTAGAGTGAGTATGGCCTGGAAAAGTAGATATCAAATTAGAAGAGGTGACGGCATTTTTATTTGATGTCTTTGGTAGCTTTCCCCCTTCTTTCCTTTGTTCTTTCCTTGCTCTCTCCCGGGTGATCCTGCGTTTGGAGAGGGAGATGGATGGACCTTGCAAGTGGTGGGCAGAGAAGAGTGGAGAGGGAATGAGAGAAACTGCCGTGGTGGGTCCAGCTGGCAGTGGCGTGTGCCTGTGCCTGTTTGCTGACTCTTGCTCGTCCCCTGGCATAGCAAGATGACCAAGAAGACGTCAGCCCTGGTCTTGCTGAGCAGCAGTGGGACAAGAAGCTTCCCGAACCTTTGTCCTGGAGAAGCGATGAAGAAGACGAAGACAGTGATTTCGGTGAGGAGCAGCGAGACTGCTACCTGAAGGTATTTTGGGGAAGAATTCCAGACGACTTTACAGTGATGACTTGAGGTTCATGTTGCCACTAGCTAATGAGGCTGATAAACTGGGACCCTGGTAACTTATTCTTAGCCAAAGTACCCACAACACAGCGCGGTGCTTTCTGCCTAGAGAATAAAGGCTCTCGAGCTGTTGAATTAATACCTGAAATTGTTCAGCTTGAGTATAATTGAATAGAAGAGGAAGCAAGAGCGGACATGGAGGAAGGTGAATGTCCTGGATGGCGCCGTTCATGACCTCGCACAGAACAAGCAGGTCCAGGCCTGTGCCCACCCGCACTCGCCCCTAAAGAGGCGTGTTAGTGTTCAGTCACCAAGCAAGGGGGCACCCCACCAGCTGTGGGAGAGAATAACACCCACCTGTCCTTGGCCTGGCTGCTCCTTCTGAGCCATTCTCAGTCTTGCCATCCCTTCTGAATGTTCTACATCAGCTGTTTGCCTTCAATGAAAACAAATCCTATCAGAGGAGAAAATTTGGATTTTTAGAAGTTTGATTGTCCCTCATTTAGAAAAATCAGTTTTGTCTAACTTATAATTTTAGAGATCAGTAATAGTGACCCATCTTTTCTGAATACCCTAAGTGGATACTTTCTCTGCAGTGGGATGACACGCCTAGTTCGCCACACACACACACACACACACACACACACACACACACACACAGGCAGGAGGTATGGCTTCTGGAGATTCCAAATGACAGAAGTTTTTCCCTTTGGGGTTTTATTAGTTTCAAGATGGGCCGATGATCTTGCTGCCACACACCAGAGCGGCTTATCTGAACATGCATGTCTTGGGGGGTACAGGGAGAGCCTCACCATCACCCGACCTCTCTGGACTGTGGGCTGAAGGCCAACGGGGCGGGGGGGGGGGGGTGGCCAGGAAGTGGGGACAGAGATGATCTTGTGATCTTGTCATGTGACCTTTTTGTGCCCTTGAGTGACTGTTGAGTCAGGTTTCCAACCCTGTAGAGACCAACCTCAGGACCAGCTACTTTCAGTGGTGACAGTGTGTCATCATTATGCTATTCAAGTACCACGATTCCTTCTAGGCAGCTGCTCAATGAACACAGATCTCAAGTCCTGTAAAAGTCAATGACTGCGAACAAGAGCGCATTTCAGCACCGGGAGTCATTCCCCACAGAGGCTCTCCCTGTGCGCACCAGCGGCAGGCGGCTCTGTGCAGTGACTGTGAGAGCATCTTCTCAGTCACTGGTTCTCCCGGGAGGGTCCCCTGTCAGCCTGCCGTCGCTCCTGTCCCTCCTCATGCGTTGTCTCCGCTCCTGCACAGGTGAGCCAATCCAAGGAGCACCAGCAGTTCATCACCTTCCTGCAGAGGCTGCTCGGCCCGTTGCTGGAGGCCTACAGCTCCGCTGCCATGTTCATCCATAACTTCAGCGGGCCCATCCCGGAGCCAGAGTACCTGCAGAGGCTGCACAAATACCTCATAACGAGAACAGAAAGAAATGTTGCTGCCTATGGTACGCAGGCCACTAGTTTGGCTTCTTTTAAATCTCTGACTTCTTGGATTACAGGAATGCTAATTATAGGGGGGGAAATTGCAAAATTATCCTGACTTCTCACTCTATAGTCCCATCATTTGTGAGGTTCCTGCATGTTGTTGCATGTAGTTGTTTGTTTATTCTTGTTGCTTTATAGTCGCCCATTGTATGAATATTTAGCGCATTTTATTCATTCATTCTGCTGTTGATGGATATTTGGGCTGTTGGCAGTTCAGAGCCCCTGGGAATAGTGCTGCTCAGCACAGGTTTGCACACACGTCTTTGGGTGGACGTGTTTCGCATCAGGTTGGGTGCATATCCAGGAGCAGAGTTGCCTGGTCACAGGGTGTGTAGGTTCAGCTTTGGTGGGTCCTGCCAGATGCTGCCCTCTTGGGCCGGTTGGCACTCCCACCAGCTGGGCCTGCTCAGTTGCTCCATCTCCTGGCTGGCACTCGGCATTGTCTGTTGTGTAAGAGGTGTGATTGGGGTGGGGGTAGCATTTTATACACATAGGGTTTAGAACCGAAACTACTGTGAATAGGAATTTTTAGAGCTCTACCTAGAGAGATGTATAGATCTGATCTAGATCGGTCACTTTCTAGATGAGGCAGCCACCCAGGCCACGTAGCTGGCTAATGGGCAGACCTGGGCTGGACCTTCTGACCTCCAGGCTTGTTCTCTTCCTGGCCCCACTGCTGCAAGGAAGCACCTGTGCCGTTTAAGGGGATTTCTGCACGTCTCCTTTGATTCTCACAAAACCCCTTCAAGGCAGATGTTTAAGGATTTCTCCTTCCCTTCCTCCCCCCATTCCTTCCTTCCTCCTCTCTCCTTCCCTTCCTGTCTCCTTTCCTCCCTTTCCCGCCTCTCTCTTTTTCCTTATTCTTCTCCCCCTTTTTTTTCTTAAAAGATGGCAAAGTAGGTTTAAAGAAACAGCAGATCATTCCAGACCTCACAGGTCACCGGCAGCAGAGATGGAACTGCCCCGCTGCTGACTCGCTCTGATGCTCTGGCCTCCGCCCTTCTCACTGTGGATATGGGTTTTGCTGGGCCTGAACATTTGACAGGGTCTCACTCTTTCTCTACAGCTGAGAGTGCCACATACTGTCTCGTGAAGAATGCTGTGAAAATGTTTAAGGATATTGGGGTAAGTGCCCGCCCCTGCGGTAGAAAAGCATGTGTTAACCTCCGTCCTCTTCCCCTTTAGACCCGGTCTGTTTGAACCCCCTTTGGGATGGGTCGACCCCGAGCGGAGCCGTTCCTGCTGGATTAGCCCTGAAGGCCTTTTTGGGGACGGGAGGGGCATGTTGAAGGCGAGGCCCTCCAGTGCAGATTTCTTTGAAAGTTCCAGAGTTTTACTGGTTTTCACCTTCATTCCAAACCTGTTTGCATAGAATGTGTCCCTGTGTTTCCAGATGCTTGGGCTGCTAAGCGGGGGTGTTGATGGCGCCCCATGTTTTGACCGATTTCGCTGTGTTTTGCTATAAGTATTGCTAGGAGAAGCCTCAGCCGTGCTTTACTTCTCGTATCACGTGGCGCTGGGTTCCACGGAGGTACCAGGGGGCTTTGTCAGGGACTGTCTGTGGCTTTATTCCACCATAAATGTTAGAGGCTAGTGCACGGGCTGCCCTCCCCGAAACCAGCACCACACCTGCACCCACCACCCCGCCCCGCCCCGCTCACAGACACGGGCAGAGCTTGTGCTTAAAGGCAGGAGGCAGTTTCCCACGTCTTACTGCTTCTGGACACCAGTCAGGGCTGGTGACGGAAATGTCCTTTTTTTGTTGTTGTTTGCATTTAATTGAAACTTTCTCTCTAGGTTTTCAAAGAGACCAAACAAAAGAGAGTGTCTATTTTGGAACTCAGCAGCACTTTCCTACCTCAGTGTAACCGGCAGAAACTCCTGGAATATCTTCTGAGCTTTGTGGTGCTGTAATAACGAGCGGCCGGCAGGTGAAGGGCGTGCACGAGCCCCGGGTGGGCTCAGCCCTTTATGGCTCCAGGTGGGAGGTGCGTCCTGTGGCCAGGCCTGCCCTGCCCTGACGTGGCCTCCTGGAAAGCAAGTGCCTTCTCCCCTCCGTGGGCCTGTGACCATCCCGACCGAGGCGCACAGCGGCCCGCAGATGACGCTCTGGGGGCCCCCAGCCTCCGCTTGCAGTTCCTAATCAGTAGATGACAAAATGAAATCTCAGAAAAGATTTCGGAGTTTATTAAAGATTTACATTTTAAGTATAACTGTTAAGGACTAATTACTGTGAAGGACGAAAAAAATGTAGTTGTACTAGTATTCTAGAACTGAATCTTGTGTGATACTTAATGCTGTCGGGGAATTCATTGGTATATTTTCTGATTAACTTAATCTTCCTCTAAAAATAATTGTCAACCCAAAGTGCTTTACGAAAGAATGGGCAGGTGTACATCACACCCAGGTATCCCTGTGCTGGTCAGATTGAGGACGTGTTTTCAGAGCTACATGAAAACACAATGTTAGATCAGGTCAGGGATGGAGATAACATGGTCACATATCTGACACGAGGAAGTACCTTTGGCTGGCAGGATTCAAGGTGAACTTGGCCAGAAAACTGACTTTGACAACTTTTGCGCAGATAAAAATGTACCACTGCGTTTAAATGACCAGCAAGTATTTAGGAATGACTTCCGTTTCTTAGCTGTGTCCTCCCCCCCTCCCGCCCCTCCCCCCCGGGTGGTCCCTCCTCTCACAGGTACAGCTGTTCCTTGGAGATCCCCCAACCACAGCAGCTGTGCCGGCGTGGTTGGCTTGGCCTGCGAGACTTGTTGGCAGAAAGGGCTCTGGCCGAGGCTGCCGGCACAGGGCTCCCTGTGCTGCACACAGCGTGTGCATGAGCCTGGTCGGGGGCCTGGTCCCCACTCGGGGAGGGCAGTGTGCCCCCCGTGCGGCCTCCGTGGTGGCCTGATGCCTGGTGAATGGTTGGAGACATTTATGGGTCTTTAGCTGTGAGGCAAAATCAAGGTTCTTTAAAAATTTAATGGGTTATATGCCTCAACCCTGATGCCGCGTAGCAGCAAATCATGAAAACTTGTCTGTTCATAACAGAGGTGCCTTTTTGTGAGTGGGGAGCATAAGTGTTCATTAATTTTGGTAATTTCTGGTGATTTCTTAAAGATGTGTTATTAAAACATTTTCTCACAGCTCATTGTTCCCCCTCTCCAAGGTATTATGGGATGAGGGACTCTCCTAATGAATATTGCATATCGTCTTTGAATTTAATACAAAAGTACTGAGAATGAAGTTTGTGCTTTCATAAGCTTGGATTTTAAACACTAATCGTATCTCATGAATATTCTGTGTTTGGGAGAGGGAAGGGTACTGACTAATATTTCACTTTGAATGAAATAATCTCATTTGGAACTCATAGCAATAAGGTTGTGCTGCTGCAACCTCCACTCTCCATTTCGAACATCCTTTCTTGGTAGGAACTCGTGTACCATTCAGCTACCGTCAGTGTTGTCGGCTCCGGGGTGGAGTGTGGACTTCACCTTGTGGCTTCTGTTTTACTAACTGGGCGTTCTGCGTCTGGGGGAACACACGGGGAGGCGTAGTTATCCCCTTGGGTGCTCCCTATGTAGGCCAGCAAACGTGTCGCTAGACTCTTGCATTCATCCCCTCCATTAGCGATCAAGGTTACTCAGACCGCCTCTTGCTTCTCCAGAATGTCACAGTTGGCAGACTTCCTAGCGGCTGACGGTGCTGCCCTGCTTGTGATTCTGCTAGAGCCGCGGCCAGGCCAGCCCGAGCAGGGACCACGGCTTCAGCTTCTCTGGTTCTGTTTTCCCTCTCGGTTGGTTCAATTTCTAGGAATCTAATCAGATGCTTTGGGGAATGCAATGTATGGTTCACTAGCTCCCTCGCCACTCAGCTCGGTGAGAATAAATATGCATGCTTTTTTGTAATTAACTGGTGCTTCAAACCCTTTTTAAGGAAGAAAAATCTCAACCAAAGTTACGCTCACCCAGGCAAGCTGACCCTCATGTTGTTTAGCACAAACCCATTCTTCAGGGCCTCGTTGCGAGAACACCCACATCATCACAGTAAGGTTTCCGGTTTTGCTTAGATTTATTCTCATTGTTTCCCAGAAGCGGATGGCGTCCATGTACGATTAAACAAACTAGGTGCTTGTAAATAATTTATTACAGTTTACTCTGCATTTCTCTGAACCTGAAATGCATGCCCTCCAGGGAAAGGCTGTGAGTCAAGTTACAAAACAAACAAACAAAAAAAACCCCCAATAATAAACAATATGAAACTGCACTCTTTCAAAATGAGACTGTCCCAAGTCATTCAGAAGAAGGGAGGGACTTTTTGATCTCCTACATTTTAAGAAAGACAAAGAGAAAGAACTGGAGTGGAATGTGTGGGACTAGCAACAGAAACACCATGAGCCTCCCTTGTGCGGTCGAGCCAAGGGGATACCTGGGAAAGGCTGGGAATGCAGGCTCAGCTGTGGGATTCCCGTTGTTCTCCAGGGAGGAGCGTGTTCTGGGATGTCCGGGGTGTTCTGCAGAAGGTGTCCCTGGGAAAAGTTTGGCCGTGGGTCCTCTTTTCCGGGAACTCCCTGTGCACTCAGCGCAGTGAAGGCGCAGGGTCTGCGAGGACGCAGCCTTTTTAACCAGCATCTCCAAACTCGGGACCCCAGGACCCTTTCCCTTCAGGACATCTGTGAACCGCTCACTGGTTCCCCCTGGAAAACATTTTGGGAAACACTAGGATGGGCAGTTCTTTAAGGAGATACAACAGTAACTGACCGGCATTGAGCATGAACTTTGTGTCAGGTATTATATTTAGTGGCTATTTCCTCCCCTATTGACCATCAGCACAGAAAACTAAGACAGGTGGTCAGGCCCTGTCCTTCGATCGGAAGATCAGCCGTCAGCGGTCCTGGGTTTTTCACTGAAAGTAGCAAAATTAACACAGCGATTAACTGGGGTAAGATTTTCATTCAGATTTAGGAAAAAAAAAATTGCACAATTGAATGTAGATTTTTATCCACAGATAGTTCTAGTGTTTAGAAGTGACAGAACCTATGACCGCAGTTTATAAAACTTAATTTGGATGTAAATCTGCTTTTTTAAAACACTCTTTTTAGGGACTGGAGACTTGGCATCTGGCATTTTAGTTTAATACAAACTAATGATTGCATTTGAAAGAGACTTTTGACTTTCTTTCTAAACACCTAAAGCTCAGAAATGCCCTGAGGGAAGGTATTAAACTATGTGCCTGTTGTACAAAGAAACATTGAATTGTAAAAGGAATTACTCTCACTGTGAAATAACACTGTGTGATTTTGTGAGCAACACTTATTTGGAAACATTAATTGATTTTTATGCCTGTTAATAATGTATTGTAAGAAGCACAGAATTGTAGT